CGCCCCCTCCCCCGCCTGCCGCAGGTCAGTGCTCCGGCCGGGCGCGCCGCCCCGCCGTCCCCCGGCTGCAGGCCAGTGCTGGCGCGGCCCGGCAGAATGGGGATGGGTCCGGGCCCCCCTGCTCGGCCCCCCGGGAGCCCGGGCGTGCCTGACCCCTGCGCTTCCGTTCTCTCTTGTCTGCAGGTGGCGATGGCAACGGGGCAGGTGTTGTTTCATCGCTTTTTCTACTCCAAGTCTTTCGTCAAACACAGTTTCGAGGTAAGCACGACGGAGGCATGTGAAGGGGTTTTCTCATCTGGAAATGGGAAGGAGGGGGTAGTGTCAGAAAGGGAGTGGTTCGTTTAGGCCTTTGTACCCAGTTCCCACTCGCCGGGAAGTGAGGACTTTTAAAATGTATTTTACAAACTACAAGATGGATCGTGAGCTTAAGTGTCCTCTTCTCCTAACCAAATGCAAAACTCCTGTGACACTGAGCTTGTCTCTTGATCCAAAATTAAGCGGATTTGAGCAATAAAAGCGTGTAGTACTAGCATATCCAGTAAGCCTGTGGCTCAGAACTGTCTTTTGCCATTTTATTTCACCAGTGTTGTCCCAGTCGGGCTCTGCAAAGTTTCTTGATCAAAATAAGTTTGATACTTTGAGGAGGGATAGTTTTTCCTAACTTTTAAGTTAAGTAATTTAACAATTGACTTTTGGCTTTTGGATTTTTTTTTTTTTTCAGATTGTTGCCATGGCTTGTATTAATCTTGCATCAAAAATCGAAGAAGCACCCAGAAGAATAAGAGATGTGATCAATGTATTCCACCACCTGCGCCAGTTAAGAGGAAAAAGGTAAGATTGGCATTATTGAACATAGCATTTCTTGCTACTTCTGTACTGTGCACCAATCAAATCAAACATCTTTCCTCTTAATAGGGATGCAAAAGAAAACTGACTTTAATGTAGGTGTGAAAATTCATATAGGAACATACTGATATTTAAATTTGGGGGAAAAAAAAAACAACCAACTAGCTACAAGGGCAGTTGCATTCATGGACAGTCCTACCAGTGCTGTGAAGCCGGTCCTGTGGCTTGAGATTAAACAAGAAAGGGAACACGTTTGGCTCAAGTGTGAGTGTATTCTCTAAGTTATTTTCCCCCCTCTGTGGAAGACAGAGGCTGGAAGTTAACACTGTAGTTGAAGTTACTATTTTGGCAAAGTTCTGTGTAGATTGTTTTTCTGCTTGAAGTCCCAGTTAATTCTTTATCAATTGAGGTTGGCTTTTGTTAGAGTACTTCTCAACATTGAACTACGATATATCGCATAATTCCGGAACTGAAAGGACTGCAGGATGATAAAGTTTGAAGTTTGAAGTCAAAGGGATTAAACAGGTATTTTGTTTTGGTTAGATACAGTCTCAGTGAGTGGGTTAGAAAAATAACTCTAAGATGGATCGGGTTGTATTTGGATAAGGACCAATTTATTCAATCTTGTACGAAAATCTGAGAGGTGGAAGTAGTAACTCCTAGCAGTTGCCATCACGTGGTAATTTAATGTGGACCGAGGTGTTTGTGTGAGGCAGTACCTAAGTGTGTTAGGGCTTCCTGCATTGACAGGTGACTTGTAGTACGAGCTGCAGAAGGATGTGCTTGGTGCAGGTTCATTCTTTTGTTCACTTTTCAAGGAACTGTGGTGATGTTAGACTTCTGAATCCGAAAGGAAGTTATAAAAGGATAGAGTTGTTTTGGGGGTTGGGTGTTGGTTAGTGCCACATAGTGTCCTATATAAGTATATGTCCTTGTTGACTGGTTCTGTAAGTTGACAGGAATGGAACTGTTCAGACACAAATGCTGAAGTAACTTTAGTTTTCTTACACATTTTTTTTCCTCATCTTTTTCCATTCATCCAGTCAGTGACCAGGGATAAAGTAATTTTTCATTAAATTATATTTTAGTTTCTTGGTGAGAAATACCTGGGAAATGGGAAGATTTTAAATTGAAATTTAGTGTGGTCTGAGCTTAAATTAGTATTTAGATAATCTGGCTGATTATTCAGGGACATTAAAATGATACCAGGCTTTTTGTCTTTAGTGGAAGGATATTCTGTTTGCTTACAGGAAAGTTTTCTGATAGTATTCTTTGAACCATTGAGCCAACTATTATGTGTAATCACATGTAATTATCTTTTTTGAAATTTTTCTGTAAGACCAAGCGTTTTCTTTGATGTCAGAACAGGTCTTAACTAAAATAACTTTAGAATTAAAAAAAAAAGTCACACCCAACTGTTGTGTCTGTTGTATACAGTGTATTTTTGGGTCATTATTACCGAGAAATTGATTTTGTTTCAATCTTAGAACTCTGATTATAGCATGACATTTAAAAGGAGTTAATTGCATGGAAGGCTTTTTTTTTTTTAAAGGAAAAAAAAAAGGATGTAAAAGTGTTTCTGTGCATATTACAAGTTTACTCAGACGCGTGACTCGTATGTGTTATTAACTTCGACTCTTTTTTCCCTTGCAACCGACTATACAGCGACCAGCTACATTTACCAAAGCCTGGGTGATGTGGAGTGGTACATAGCGATGAAGCTGTCGTCATGGCAACAGTGAGTGAAGTATCGAAAATCCCCAAGGAGAAGCCAGTGCTCTGAGAATAGGTCACTGGAATCGGGGACTAACAGGTTGGCCACTGGTGAACCATTTAGAAAAACTCCTGTTTCTTGTTATAAGCTTTTGTCTTTGCTGTCCAAGTTATTAGAACTATAATTTAGTTTTATTTTTTGGCATAGGATAGTGTCAGAAAGTATTACCAATATTATACTTTAGGTAAAGCATAACAGTTTGTCATAATGACACTTGTTTTAATCTAGTTTATGCCTAACTGTAAATTGTAGTATGATCTAGATTGGTTCAGGGGAGATATCCTTTACTGTCCACATATTAGAATCAAAAGGATCTTTTAAAAGAAGGAATTGGTATTGGTCCCAATCTGGATTATTTGACCTATTTCCCTCTAATTATTTGTAGTTTGATAATTGTCTTTTTTAAGTTCAGAATGAATGGCTAAGTTTAAAGGGAAGATTGCCTTTCTATTTCTGTATTGTCCAAATACAATTTGCTTTTCGATAGCATATTTCAAGTATGTTAAGATTTTGTTTCAATTTTTAGTTTTAAGAAGTCCATATTCAATCTCTAAGACTTCTGAAAGAAGATCAATTTTCAGAGACTTGTTTAGCCACTCATTGGTGCATTTTGTGTGGTATTTTCAGCCTATCTGTAGATCTTAAGAGTTGGATTAGGAGATTTTGGTCTTAGGTGGGTTGTCCTTTGGTGCAACAACTTTGCGCAGGTTATTTCTGTGGCTCTACAGTTACCCTGCAGTTTGTTTAACCACCTCTAAATGTTTCTACTCAAGGCATTATAAGTTCCTATATATTGAGTACCAGTCTGCCTCTTTGTAAACAACCCATCTGGTTTTAGTGTTGTTGTCTCTCGAAGAACTTGTTCTTGAACTAAAGTTCTTGAACTATCTCAGTTCTTGTAACACATGAGTGATAATAATTGTGTCTAATGTTTTGTTGCTGTTGAGCTACATTTCATTTAAGTCATGCTAAAGGAATATAGCTACTCTTAGAGACCAGTTAATTAAACTTTTAAAGACCAGTGACTAAAATTTCCTGAAATTTTAAGGTTGTCATTATATCATTAATTGGGGATTCTGAAAATAGAAACTTAAAGCAGGAGAGAGGTGGAGTTAGGTAGTTTGTGTTGATATAAAAATGTTTATGTAGGTAAAGGCTCCCTTGGTATTTTAAAATGTCACTTCTTCAATCAAACTTACTGAAAAGGAAAATTTACTCCTTTGGGGATAAACCTTCTAGCAAGTCTTAATTCAATTTAATGTGCATGTTGCCACAAAAAGAACTTAATTGATACTTTGTTATGGAGAGAAAGCACTTGTTAAATCCTTTTCCTGCACCTTTGCTTATTGCCAGTTTATGAGATACAGTCTTCTATTTCTGATACAAAATATCTGTAAGATAGTTGTGAATTTCTGCTGAGCCTTCTTTGGTGAGGTAAAACTACTTCTGAACAACATAAATGTATCAGATTATACATGCACAAAGTAACTGTGCAGGTAATAGCACTCAGTTCTGGACAAACTAAAGTTACCAGATTATACATCTATTAAGTTAACTTCAAAAACTGAACTAACCAAGGATCTGAGTATGTTGTTAAATTATAGTAGATAATGAGTTTGGTTTTCTTAATCTATTTTGATGCCAGTGGAATTTTGATTCAAAAAAAAAAAAAGTAAAGATTATCACTATTGGAAACTGATTTTCTTCGTAAGGGGGGGTATAGGTAATTTGATCAGTATAAATGGAGAAAAATAAGAATTTTGCTTTCATAAAATTATATTATTGTAGGGAGTCTAAAAGGCACAGCTTACTGTGCAGATAATAGGGTGTTAAGTGTTAAAATGATGTGGTAGCCTTAACACAGGAGCTATTTTATCTCCTAAAGTCACTTGACAGACAGCTACCAGATAGCCAGTCAGAATCTGAGATGGATTTGATTTTTTTTTTTTTTTTCAAATTCTCTGTAATACTTATAAACCCACAAAGGTGTAAACTTTAACATCTTTGGCATATGTTTTCGTATGTGTATTGGTTGGTCTCATTTGAATTAATCTTTTTTCAAAGAGTAGTTAGCCTACTGTCCAGATAAAATGGTTTGATCGTTATATTTTAATATTGGAAAATAACCCATTCCCTCAATTGTTGATCTTATTCCTTAACATCTTTTATTGTGATAATAGGAATTAAATTAAGGGGAGGCCATTTTTTGGCATTGTTAATTTACATAATATTTGTTTTTTATCTTGTTAGATTTTATTCAGTGTAATTTGATAAAACTCATATAGAATATTTAGAAATAATCTAGTAAGCATTCTGGGGTTTGTTGTACTTTTTAATGGAAGAAAGTAAAAATAATTATTTTACTCTGTTAATTTGTCACCCTAGGGGTAGTTAATGTAGGCCATCTTGGATTGTTTTTTTAACCTTTTAAGTTGATGTATTTAAATAGGTTTTTGTTAGAAGATACAAAATTACCATTTTCTGGATTTGGTATATATTTAGGGTAAATAACCAGAATTACTGGCTTTAAAATAGATGTGTTCTGTCCTAAGCAAAAACTCCTGAATCTTTGGCTGAGAATAGAGTATGGGAAGAGATATTTAAATGTGCTACCCATATACTTGCCATATAATCAGTGTCTTAATAAAAATGAACTTTTTGTGGGTTGTATCTAAGAATGTATCAAAGGACATGGGTAAATTTCATAGACTTTTTTCAAAATGAAATTCTTGACTGGGCTGGTGCCATGGTGGTTAAGGCACCTGTGTCCGATATGGTTGACTACAGTTTAAGGCCTGGACCTAGTGGCTTGAAAAACACACTTGGGTGCATTTGAGGGCATGCCTGCCCAAAATCTCAAGAGGCTCTGGCCATTCCCCCTGGGGCTGCCATTTTTTACTTTCCTTCTCTCTCGTCTCTGGAGTGCCTGTGCCCTATAGTAAATTAAAAAACGAAACAAAACAAAACAAAAAAACAAGTGAAATTCCAATTCCTTAGCATTTCTTGACTAAAACCTGAGGGGAAAAGTGAGTTTTGAATTGCAAGATATGAGTAAGCTAGTCTCCAAAAGAAAATGTAGAATTTTTTTCTGTATTAAAAAACCCAAATGCTTGAAGGTAGCATTTCAGTGTGCTGTTTTTAAAGTGTTGAACCACTTACGTGTGTGTGGCCTTCTGTATCATAGACACTTTCAAAGTTGAGTCTGGTACAGAGACCTTGAATGTATCCTGGTCCCCTTGCTAAACTGTTGTCTTTCACGTTGCATACTAAAGCATATTTTCCAGTGACTACCACTGTGACCAAATCTAGGCCTGATCTCAGCAATCAGACTGAGTTTTGAATTTGATTTTAAAAATTTATTTCTTCGATTGATAATCAGACTGAATTGTTTTCAAGGTTTTTGTTTTTTTTTTTTTAAGAGAGAGATATTCAGAATGGTTTGTTTAAATGAACTCTCTCTGGGGAATCTAGGTTAGTTACCCACTGTTTTTTCCTTTGTTTTAATTTTGACCATAAGCCAGACAAGAGTTGATACTTTATTATTATAATGAGTAAGAGATTGCTGTGATCTTATAAGGACTCTTAGAGTACTATAGAACTTTTCAGGAGCACATTAGCTTTGTCTGTGAAAAGTCTCTGAAGACTTACGAGTGAGTGTGATAATACATGATACTATAGTAAAATACTATACCCAAAATATAATCAGAAAAAATTGATAAGAATAAATCCAAGAGCATTATAATAAGCATTTTCATTAGAGTTGAATAGTTCCTTCTAGGAACTCAGTCTGCCTGTATATATTTAATTAGCATAACTTGGACAGCACAAGATTAATGCTTTAACTTGTTTGCAGGAGTTTAAAAAGCTGGTTTCTGTTGCCAATAGTTGGTTGGAAGGGAAAATGGAGATGCCACAAATAAAATTCTTTGGATGTGCAAAACAGTTTTGATTTTATTTCTTACAAACTGTAGGACTCCAAGCCCCCTGATCCTTGATCAGAACTACATTAACACCAAAAATCAAGTTATCAAGGCAGAGAGAAGGGTGCTAAAGGAGTTGGGATTTTGTGTTCATGTCAAGCATCCTCATAAGGTGAGTTGTAGAGTTCAGAAATTATGTTCGTAAGTATTAGGGCTTTTCTTGAAATTACATTTTAACATGAATTTGTATTGTGTTTACATTTCCAGGATTAAACCTGATTTTAAAAAAGCATTCTTTTGGATGTTGACATTAACAGTAACATAGGAGGCAAAAAGACATAGGGTCTAGGGCCAGCAGGTGGCATGGTGGTTAAAGTGCTGGATTCCCACATGGCCAAAGGCAGTTCACATCCTGGACCAGTGCCTTGAGGGTCACACAGGATGTGTGTGTGCACTCAGAATTCCAAGATGAGAACAGAGGAGAAGGGATTGCAGCATGGCCATCCCCTCAGGGGGTGGTATTTCACTTTCCCTCCCTCTTTCTTTCTGGCAGGCACACATGCCCTATGACCAAAAAGAAAATAAATAAAGACTTAGGTTGTAATTTTTACCCTTATAGTGTCGTCAGTGGTCATAGTTAAGCTTTTTGCTTCTATGATTAAGTCCCAGTTTTCTCACCTAGAACACGGAGATAGTCGATGACCTTACTCCAAGGAGTGAACGATATGATACTATGAAACTACATAGTATACCTCTTGTTACCTGGTGAAATGATCCAGATGTGATGGGTGCTCAGTGACTGGTATTCAAGTTCTTAGACTTTCCTCCACGTCTCGTAGCTGTCATCTTGGTCAGGACTGCGTGGGGTGAAAACAGCTTGGCCTTGCCGTTAGTTGTGTGACCTTGGCAGGTGTCTATTTCTCAGTTTTCCATCTCTAAAATTTAAGATGGAAACGATAGTGCAAATCTAGAAAGACCAGACATGAAGTGAGTTAAAGCTTTTTATATGTAGTTTCTAGTTAAAGCATTTTGGTGTGCTGTGATGTACTTCATAAATATTAGTGTTGAATTATCTGACTGCAATACCCATGCTTAACAGTACAGAATAGACCTCATAAGCAAGCATTGTGTCGCTTTCTAAAATGTTTTAGGAAATTTGGTAACATAACTACTCACATTGAATCTCAGGTACAATTTAGGTTTGTATATGTGCAGTTTACAGAGGAATTACAGAACTTGCTCTAACGTCTTCAGTTACTTTGTTAGACTATGCTCTAAAAGAATCACCAATATGCTAAAATCGACTTTTTTTCCCTCCCTTGTCCTCAGATCATTGTTATGTATTTACAAGTCCAAGCATCCTCATAAGGTGAGTTGTAGAGTTCAGAAATTATGTTCGTAAGTATTAGGGCTTTTCTTGAAATTACATTTTAACATGAATTTGTATTGTGTTTACATTTCCAGGATTAAACCTGATTTTAAAAAAGCATTCTTTTGGATGTTGACATTAACAGTAACATAGGAGGCAAAAAGACATAGGGTCTAGGGCCAGCAGGTGGCATGGTGGTTAAAGTGCTGGATTCCCACATGGCCAAAGGCAGTTCACATCCTGGACCAGTGCCTTGAGGGTCACACAGGATGTGTGTGTGCACTCAGAATTCCAAGATGAGAACAGAGGAGAAGGGATTGCAGCATGGCCATCCCCTCAGGGGGTGGTATTTCACTTTCCCTCCCTCTTTCTTTCTGGCAGGCACACATGCCCTATGACCAAAAAGAAAATAAATAAAGACTTAGGTTGTAATTTTTACCCTTATAGTGTCGTCAGTGGTCATAGTTAAGCTTTTTGCTTCTATGATTAAGTCCCAGTTTTCTCACCTAGAACACGGAGATAGTCGATGACCTTACTCCAAGGAGTGAACGATATGATACTATGAAACTACATAGTATACCTCTTGTTACCTGGTGAAATGATCCAGATGTGATGGGTGCTCAGTGACTGGTATTCAAGTTCTTAGACTTTCCTCCACGTCTCGTAGCTGTCATCTTGGTCAGGACTGCGTGGGGTGAAAACAGCTTGGCCTTGCCGTTAGTTGTGTGACCTTGGCAGGTGTCTATTTCTCAGTTTTCCATCTCTAAAATTTAAGATGGAAACGATAGTGCAAATCTAGAAAGACCAGACATGAAGTGAGTTAAAGCTTTTTATATGTAGTTTCTAGTTAAAGCATTTTGGTGTGCTGTGATGTACTTCATAAATATTAGTGTTGAATTATCTGACTGCAATACCCATGCTTAACAGTACAGAATAGACCTCATAAGCAAGCATTGTGTCGCTTTCTAAAATGTTTTAGGAAATTTGGTAACATAACTACTCACATTGAATCTCAGGTACAATTTAGGTTTGTATATGTGCAGTTTACAGAGGAATTACAGAACTTGCTCTAACGTCTTCAGTTACTTTGTTAGACTATGCTCTAAAAGAATCACCAATATGCTAAAATCGACTTTTTTTCCCTCCCTTGTCCTCAGATCATTGTTATGTATTTACAAGTCTTAGAATGTGAACGTAATCAAACCCTGGTTCAAACTGCCTGGTAAGTTGCTTTTTTACATTTCCTTCATAGCTAGGAAAACAGAAGCAGAAATAAAGTAAGTTATATCGTTTTCCCTTTCCAAAATAATGAGATAAGTTTGTTTTGAGGCTTTTTGTTTTTTGTTTTTTTAACCAAAATGTAAATAATGCTTATTTCTGCTTCCTGTTTTCTTGGCTTGACTAATTACTTTTAATGGAGAACTCAATTTAACTTTGTTCTTTTTTCTACTCTTTAATTAAAGGGTAGTCCATGATGGTAAGTCATAGAACTCTGCCCTCTGCACTTCAGCCCATGACCTCAGGATGGCCTGATTGGCTGCCCTGCTCTCCAGCCAATCCAGTGCAAGCTCTCATCCGAGATTCACTGAAGTGGTCCATATCCATCTGGCAGCATCTTCTAGTTCTCTCTGGGTGTCAAAAGGATTTGTATATTTGCTTCTAGAAATAACTATTCAACATGCCTATGTATTTAATGTATTCCTGTAACTATCAAAATGATTAGTTCATTTTTGATAGATTTGTTGTCCAGCCATTATGAATTAAATGGTTTTTCATATATTAGGAGTTTGACTAAATTTCTATTTTTCAGTGTGTGTAGCATAAATTCTACCAACAACTTGCAGCTTAAAATGGGCAACAATTCCCACACTGGGTTAATGTATAGCTGCTGGCTATTGCAGGCAATATTATTGGAAGTAAGAAGTACTTAATTTTAAAAAAGAGATGTTAATATTGAACACTTGATAGAATTTGGACTTTTGAGATGCAGGTGTGTGATTTGGTGTGCTGGCTTATTTAAAAGTCAAGCAAGGAGTTTGTGGGTCAACCAAACCTGCTTCATAAGACCTTTGATGATGTGTAGGACTTAAGTAATTTTTATGTTCTGGACTTTCCACAAGATGTCTTTTTAATGACTGCCATGATTTTTTCAGGTTCAGAAAATTCTAGTAATACTCATTATAGTAAGTCATTGCTTTTATAAAATGCATGACATTTTAAATATGTGTTCTATGAAACAAATTTTAGCAATTTTCATGACTCGGGGTTTTTAAGAACATTCATTTTAAGCTTAACCTTATAAATGATCTGTAAGTAGTTTAGGAATATTGTGGGGAGGGTTTACTTAAAAAGCTTTGCAATTTGTTTGTTTTACTTATGCTCAGTTGCAAAAAAAGGTATGTAAACAAGACCTTTGTGTATTTTATTGCTCTTACCTAGATTTTCTGAAGTAGCTTAGTTTATTTTCTTAATATAACTATAATTTGGTGAGTACTTTATTGCAGATGGCTTTTTACCCCATCATAGTATTTTGAATTTTTGACACTGCATTTCATTGTACAAAAACGGAGAGATGGTCAGTAATTAATGGCTTGAAGTATTGTTGGAGTGGTTTATCATTTCTGAAACTGTGTCAGAATTGACTTTTAAAACATTGTTTTAGAAATATGACTAAGTTCTATTTGATTAGTAACAATGGAATAGTTGGGACTTTGGTATATAGGAAAACTGAAGAATGGTCCTATGTTAAATTCTTAATCTCACTAATTTTTTTGAGTTAGGAATTGTTAAATATGCTAATATATGATAATGTAAATATAATTAAGAGAAGAAAAAAGAATAAAGTATATTGAGTCTCCAATTTTAAATAAGCTTCAGAAGACCTGGTTTGTTTACATACAAATCTTATAGTTCACATATTTTTCAGGAATTATATGAATGACAGTCTTCGAACCAATGTTTTTGTTCGATTTCAACCAGAGACTATAGCATGTGCTTGCATCTACCTTGCAGCTAGAGCACTTCAGGTAGGTGTCTGTTCTATAGAATTAAGCACTGGAATTATCAGTGTTTCCAGTAAAACAAACAAAACAAAACAGAACAAAACATGAAAATTTAAACTATCCTGTTTTTGTGGTTTAGATTCCATTACCAACTCGTCCCCATTGGTTTCTTCTTTTTGGTACTACAGAAGAGGAGATCCAGGAAATCTGCATAGAAACACTTAGGCTTTATACCAGAAAAAAGGTAATTTTTAGTTATTCAAGTTTGTGCTAAATAGGAGGGTATGAGTGGTCTTTTTTTCCTCTACACACACACACACACACACAAAGCTGTGGAGAACATCATGAAAAAACTGCACTGGAGGGAACCAGCAGTTAGCGTAATGGCTATGTCGCTGGATTCCCACGTAGTCGACCGCGGTTCGTGTCCCGGACCCAGTGGCTTAAAACTCACGCCAGGCACGTGTGCGTGCGTGCCCAAGATCCCGAGAGGAGAATGGAGGAGAAGGGATTGCGGTGTGACCATCCCCCCTGGGGGGTGATTTCTCGCTTTCTATCTCTATGTCTCTGTCTGTCTGGCGAGCGCACGCGCCCTACAGTGAAAATCTCTCCAAAAAAAAAAAAACTGCATTGGATTTCAAAATCTTTTGTACTAGAAGGTCATACTTTAATTTCGTTTTACACAAAATTTATGAAGTGTCCTCATATTCTCAGTGTTAGACTCCAAACTACTATAAAGGAAAGTGTTACTAACTTCATTTTTCTCCAACAGCCAAACTATGAATTATTGGAAAAAGAAGTAGAAAAAAGAAAAGTAGCCTTACAGGAAGCCAAATTAAAAGCAAAGGGATTGAATCCCGATGGCACTCCAGCCCTTTCAACCCTTGGTGGATTTTCTCCCGCCTCTAAGCCATGTAAGATATGGTCAGAATTGAAAGGATGGGGGCGGGACCAGCAGATGGCATAAGAGTTATGTTGTTGGACTCCCACATAGTTAACATGGTTCAAGTCCTGGGCCCAGCATCCCAAAACTCATGCCAGGCGTGTGTGCCCAAAATCTCAAGAGGAGAAGGGATTAAGGTGTGGCCATCCCCCCAGGGGGTGATTTCTCACTTTCTGTCTCTATCTCTCTGGCAAGTGCATGCACCTTATACCAAAAATTTCTCAAAAACAAAGAAAATAAAATGATGGGTCACAGAAAGTGTGTCGTTGTTTGAAAGTGGTAGCATTTAACAGATGGATAGAAATGGTGTAAGAAGCTCATGACTTAATATTTTCTTTCATAACCGTTAACTAAGGAATGATAAACTAAGAACTGATAACTTAAAAGCATGGTACTTTCAGTTCTATTTAAAAACGACTTCTGACTGTTAAATCCAGTAGTTAACATATTCTTTCTTTTCTTTTAAAAGCATCACCAAGGGAAGTAAAAGCTGAAGAGAAGTCACCAATCTCCATTAATGTGAAAACAGTCAAGAAAGAGCCTGAGGATAGACAGCAGGCTTCCAAAAGCCCTTATAATGGGTGAGTAGTTTCAAATTAGAAAACTGGCCTCTGGGATCTTTCATGTATTTTCTAACATGCAAAGTGTGTAACTAAAATATGTTTTTTGAAGTGTAAGAAAAGAGAGCAAGAGAAGTAGGAACAGCAGAAGTGCAAGTCGATCAAGATCAAGAACACGATCACGTTCTAGATCACATACTCCGAGAAGACAGTAAGTAAATGTTTTGTGTAAAGCATTCTTGTTTGGAATCTAAAGGTTATGGCTTTAAAAAAAAATTGCACCTAGTCTATTTTCAGAGTTAGGCGAGGATTAGGCTTTCACCATAAGGTAAATTGTGAGACATGAGCTTGGGGCTATGTTTCAGATGTGTGTGTGGGGTTTTGTTTTTTGTTTTTGTTTTTTGTCTTTTTGTTTTTTTGTTTTTTTTTTTTTCCGTTTTGTGGTGACCTCCCCCTCCTCCCCTGCATATTGTGTGGTGGAAGGCCATCCCCAGTAGGCATACCGCCATCGACCCTGAACTGCCTTCCTAGTATGTACAGAGAAACCTGAGGGTGCTGAGATACTGACCTGGGCTTTGGCATATGGCTTCAGTATCTTGGGGTATAGGGTTACTGCTGTGTCACCCTGGCTGGCCTGTGATGGTTTATCTTTTTGAATTTTTACGCACCCGGCAGACAAAGTGACAGTGAGAAATCGTCCCCTGGGGGGATGGCCGCACTGTATTCCCTTCTCCAGTCTCCTCTTGGGAGTTTGGGAATACATGCACATGCGCCTGGCATAATTTTCAAGCCGCCAGGTCTGGTGCTCAGACTGCACAGTCAGCCATGTGGGTTCCAGTGCCCCAGTCTCCACACCACCTGCTGGCCCTGTGATAGTATATCTTAATAGAATACTGTCGTTTTCTCCTGTGCTTTTTAGAGAAGTGTAGGGGTTGCCAATGAAAGTGCATTGGAGATACATCCCGTTTATAACGGGAAAACATTTTCATTCCAATTTCAGTTAAAAAGTAAATATTGGGTCGTCGGAAAAGTCAGGACAAATTTTTCTGTGCAGAAATGCACCATGACTTTTCTGACAACCCAGTAGTTCACCACTACCCACCCTTTTTTTAAAAGAGGTTTTTGCCTTAGGGCATGTGTATTCACCAGAGAGAGAGAGAGACACAGACAGAGACAGTACGAAGAAAAGTGAGAAATCAACCCGCAAGGGGGCATGGCCACGCTGCAATCCCTTTGCTCTCCTCCCGGGATCTTGGAGACACATGCACATGCACCCAGCGTGATTTTCAAGCCACTGGGTCCAGGACTTGAACCTCAGTCAGCCCTGTGGGAGTCTAGCGGCATGGACTACACCATCTGCTCACCCCTATTTTGAAAAATTGAAAAAACTTTTTAAAATTTTATTGCCAGAGGCAAGTATCTTCACCAGAGTGGGGTGAGGAGCACCCCCCAGTGGGGCATGGTCACAGCTCGGTCCCTTATCCTCCATCTTGTCATCCTATCAGGATTTGGGGCAAGCATGCATACAAGCCTAGAGTTTTTCAAGCCACTTTGGCTGGAGTTTAGATCCCATATGAGATCCTGCTCCCTCCACACCGTGCTTTACTGCTGCATTAGAGGGCTGACCCCAACTGCTTGTTAATCCGTAATCAAGGTAACCATGCCCAGAGAGTCTTCCAGTTAGCATTTCAATCCGATTGCTGAACTTGTGGCTTTTCTTCAGTGACTTTTTTGAATATGTGGGAAATTAAAAAGTTGCTTACTCTATAGACAAGAGTACATTTATTTAGGCTTGGGGGAGGGGTGGGGCGATTTCAAGAAAGTCTTCAGTTATGACTTGTCATTGATATAAATGATAGTTTTCATTTGAGCCTGTTACAAATTATGAGAAGAACCACAAGTACCTGTTCCCCATAGAAACTGAATCTAAACCTCAAATTTTTATTATCTAAGCTATAATAATAGGAGGAGTCGATCTGGAACTTACAGCTCGAGATCAAGAAGCAGGTCCCGCAGTCACAGTGAAAGCCCTCGAAGACATCATAATCATGGTTCTCCTCACCTTAAGGCCAAGCATGCCAGAGATGATTTAAAAAGCTCAAATAGACATGGTCATAAAAGGAAAAAATCTCGTTCTCGATCTCAGAGCAAGTCTCGAGATCACTCAGATGCTGCCAAGAAACACAGGCATGAAAGGGGACATCATAGGGACAGGCGCGAAAGGTCTCGCTCGTTTGAGAGATCCCATAAAGGCAAGCACCACGGTGGCAGTCGCTCAGGACACGGCAGGCACAGGCGCTGACGTTCGCTTCCTCTGAGCCTGCATCAGTTCCTGGTTTTGGCTCTCGGCGGTGTGATGTATGGACTCAATCAACACAGTAAAAGCAACTGATTAGGATTGGATTTTTCAAAACCCTTTAGGTCTCTAGAAACACTGAGGACATTTTATTCTGAAAAGAACTATGTTAATTTTTTTTTTTTTTTTTTGCACATTAAAATGCCCTAGCAGTATCTAATTGAAAACCATGGTCAGGTTCAATTGTACTTTATTATAGTTGTGTATTGTTTATTGCTATAAGAACTGGAGCGTGAATTCTGTAAAAATGTATCTTATTTTTATACAGATAAAATTGCAGACACTGTTCTATTTAAGTCGTTATTTGTTTAAATGATGGTGAATACTTTCTTAACACTGGTTTGTCTGCATGTGTAAAGATTTTTACAAGGAAATAAAATACAAATGTTTTTCTAAACTGCTTCAAATATCTTATTTAAATAAATTATTACAAAGTAAAGTTTAATAGTTGAATGGCTGTACTGATTTTCTGACAAACCTATAGTGCTTTCCTCCATGCTGTAGTTTGAGATTAAAATGCAATTCCTATCTGCCCTGCAAACTGTTGTATTGGTCGTCATGAAAGGCAATGGGGGTGGACCAACAGTGAAATGTTAAAAGCTGTATTTGTAGCACTGCAATGAAGCCTGGTTTGCACTTGAATGGTACCATTAGGTAGTTTTAGGTCAGTTTCAAGTACTATCTTATAAAGCATGGTACCTTATTACAACTTTTAAATCAGATCAGATTGTTGATCTCTAACATATGTGTGGTTTAGAAATTAATGGTGACTTTTGTCTAGGCTAGGAGATTTTCAGAAATAAGGTGAGGCTTTTGGGCCTATGTGGGGATAAAGTAAAATGTTAGACGAGAGAAATTTTAAAACTAGAACTATCCCATTGAGTTTTTTTCCAAGTTACTCACATAAAGTAGTACCTTTTTCTAGGGTTTTGAAAATGGATTTAGAGATGTTAAAAGTCAAAAGTTTCATTACTTTGTAGGTAGTTATATGGAGTCACTATGTAGTCATGAAGTTTTTTTACCCACTGTGATTACTTGTCCACCAGACTTGGCTCCAAATGATTCGCTGTTTCAAAAAATCCAATACTCCACAGAGGAAGATTACTGCCACTAAGGATGTTTTTTAAAAAAGGTAAAAACAGCTTCTGAAGAGGATTCTGAAGACGACTTCCAAATACGGTCACCAGTGGTGGGCAGTGAGGCTGGAAAGGTAGATAGCAGTCACAAGACTGCTTACTGCTTTGAAGGAGAGGAGAGCAAGACTCACTTGGATGTAAAAATGTCGGGTATGCTGTTTAAACCCATTACATTTCAAACTAAAAACTAACATGACCTAGAATACTAACCTGAAAGTGGGTATATAGTTCATTAAGTCAACATGATTGTTTTATATATTGCTGAGCTATAAATTTATATTTCTGAAGAATTTAAACTGCCTCTAAATACTGAAACTATGAGGAAGAAATGCAAAGGAAAATGTCAGTATAGATTTTGTTAATAATTGAAATTTTTTTTAGAATTTTATGTATTCATTTATTTTTTGGAGAGTTTTTTTTTTTTTGCTATACGGTGCGTGTGCTCGCCAGACAGACAGATAAAGACAGAAAGCAAGAAATCACCCCCCAAGGGGGGATGGACACGCCGCAATCCCTTCTCCATTCTCTTGGGATCTTGGGCACGCACACACATACGCCCGGTGTGAGTTTTAAGCCACCGGGTCCGGGACGTGTGCCGCATTCGACTACGTGGGAGTCCAGTGACACAGCCATTATGCTAACTGCTGGTCCCGCATTCATTTATTTTTTAACAAACTATTTAGTTCCATTTGTCATTTTTTAATTTTCAGAGACAGGGAAAGTGAGAAGTAAGCCGCCAGGTCCGGTACATGGACCAGGGTCAGCTATAATGGGAGTCCAGCATCCCTACCCACCTTGCCACTTGCCAGCCCATTTGTTTTAATTTGACCAGAGAGAGGGAAAGAAAATACAAGCCACCAGGTCTGGAAATTGAACTGTGGTTGGCCTTGTGGGAGTGTCCAGTGCCTTAATCACCACTCTACCTGCTGGTCCATGAATGTTGAATTATTTTCTTTTTTTGGAGAGGTTTTTGCTACAGGGCACATGCGCTCAACCGGGAGACAGAGACAGGAAGCGAGAAACCACCCCCTGGGGGGATGGCTACGTGGCAATCCCTTCTCCATTCTCCTCTCAGGATCTTGGGCATGCACGCACACGCGCCTGACATAAGTTTAAGCCACTCGGTCCAGGACTTGAGCCATAGTCAACTACGTGGGAGTTCAGCGACATAGCCATTATGCTAACTGCTGGTGCCCATGAATGTTGAATTTTCAGTAGTCTAAATTACTTGCTCTGTGCCTTATCTTTGCTTGGGTATTATGGGCCTGAGTGATTGTGAAGACTGGGACTTGTGGATGACACCTGCATGTGGGATGAAGTTTGTATATTAACAGTGTTCTTATAAGTGGTTTTGCAGATGAGGCAAGGATGTCTTTCAGTTTACTAAATTTTACCTTATTGTGCTATTGCTGAATTTATTGTCCAGAATTCTTGTAAAACTAAGAGGTTAACAGCCTTAAGTTGTTTTACCTTTATTTGAAAACGTTTTTCTGTTTTAAAAATTCTCAGTTTCATGGGAAATTACAGACACCAAGAGTTACCCCTGTCTTTCAGCTCCAAAAATGATCCATCAGTTCTTGGTCTGCCAACCATATAATCTGTACCATACCAGTTTATTACTCCATTTCACACCTTTACAGATGGAAGAGGTTCCATACAAATGATTTTTGTCCCCACATGTTCAAAAGGTAAGGACTTAAAACATAACCACATGAACTTTTGTTTTTAGGTTTTTGCCATAGGGCATGTGCCCTTGTTCGAGACAGGAAAAATGAGAACTCACCTTCCAGGGAGGATAGCCACGCTGAAATCCCTTCTCCATTCTCAGGGTTTTATGCACACAGGTGCACATTTATACGGCATGATTTTCAAACTGCCGGGCCAGGACGGAACACGGTGGCCATGTGGGAATCCAGTGCCTTAACTACTGTGCCACCTACTGACTCCTAAAGGCCAGATTTTTTTGTTTTGTTTTTGTTTTTTCTTTTTTTGGAGAGGTTTTTGCTATAGGGTGCGTGTGCTCGCCAGACAGAGAGACAGAAAGCAAGAAATCATCCCTGAGGGGGGATGGCCACACCGCAATCCCTTCTCCATTCTCCTCTCGGGATCTTGGGCACGCGCACACACACGCGCCCGGCGTGAGTTTAAGACACCGGGTCCGGGACTCGAATCGCGGTTAACCACGTGGGAGTCCAGCGACATAGCCTTTACGCTAACTGCTGGTCCCAAGACCAGGTATTTAAAAGTCAGGTTTAAAACAAGCATAGTGAGGGACTGAGTTTAGCTGAGAGAATGTACGTGGGGTTTGGGAAGGAAAACAGTTTCATGCATGGGAATTTTTTTTTTTTTTTTTTT